CTTTTGTAGGATAAATTCTTGTTATGTTTTTATATAATTGAGCCATAGCTTTTCTCTATTTGTTCAACTACGTTTATATTCTGGTTGATTGAAGAGCTCTCAATTAGCTATGCCTATTTAGTATGCATAACTCGGGAGAGAGTGCATATTTAGGTAGTTGTTGAACAACACCACTCCCAGAGTATATGAGGGATCAATAACCGAGGGTTTAAAGGTGGGATTAGGGATAACGAAGCCTTGGGTGCGATCTGAAGTGAGCTGTATTAAAAGCCAGCTAGCGTAGCTCGGGAGAGTGCGTCTAGTAAATTGTCGTAATTACTCGGGAGAGATTTACGGCAATAAGAGTGCTCATGATCGGTAGAGAATACTTAGGCGAAATTATAGAAGACATAGCGGGAAGGATTCCGACAATTGGGGAAATCATAACTCTAGACCTCCTTAATCTTTTCTCTAACCCTCAGTATCGTTAGTTGTTAATTTACTATTTTAATTTGTTAGTTAAGTAGTTAAACAGAAGAATCTTAATATCTATAAGTTAGGATTTGTTCAAGCTTGTCTTCTGGGTGATAGTGAACAGCTATAGCTAAACCTTAGTTCTCTGTGGGATTCGACTCCGGACTTGTAAACCGGATTATATTTGCAGCGACCGCTTAGTCCTTTTTATAAGACATAGATGGGCGTGATCAGATTTATAGACAACAAAATATATGTGTCTCATTTTACAGCACAAGTTCAAAAGCCTTATCTCTTTTTTATACTCCGTGCCCCGTCAAATGGTTCACATAGATTGAAAAGGAGGAATTATATTATTAACTTAATGTTTCAGATCCATTATTTATTTGAATTATTAAGGGAGTATATATTAACTCAACCCTCTCCTGAATGCTATAAAACTATTACTCCCTCCGATCCATAATAAGTGATCAATTTACTTTGGGCATACCAATTAAGGAAATATTAAATTCTAGACAAAAGTAATTAGTATGACTAAACTACCTTAATTAAATGTTATACTCCCTCCGTTTCATATTAAATGAGTACTTTCCTTTTTAGTCTGTTCCAAAATAAATGATACATTTCTAAATTTGAAAATAATTCAACTTTAAACTCCTCATTTTACCCATTTTACCCTTAATGAGAAGCTTTTATAACCACACAAAAGTCATGGCCCCACAAAGCTTTACCCCTTAAGCTTTTAAGACCACAAATTTCAAAAGTATTTCTTTTTTTCCTTAAACTCCGTGCCGAGTCAAACTAGCTCATTTAATTTGAAACGGAGGGAGTAGCAAAGTTAATGTGAGGAGTAAAAGACTTTTTAGGGATACGTACATGAGGATAATTTTGGAAAAGCAAATTGAATTGTTTCTTGGTTATATAAATGGACACTTATTTTGAACCAAAATAAAAAATTAAATTGATCACTTATTGTGGACCGGAAGGAGTAACTCGTTAACTCAATAGTAGAATAAAGGACTTTCTTAATTTCTTTAATTTATAAGGAAAATAATCATGTCTCGGTGACATATTAATTTCGACGAGTATTACTATTCAAGCTGATAAAGAAAAGTTTTACTATAACAACTATGAGAATAGAATTACGCAAAAAGGATGCAGTAAATTAGAAGGCGAAAAAAAAAAATCTTATCAGAAAAATCTGTATTGACAAGTCAAGCTGATAATCTACTCTAGACTAATTTGCCGACCCTTTGTTGTATGGACGCGGACAGGTCGTAGTGCTAGGGGCCCCTAATGCTACCCCAAAACTTCAACAAAAATATTTCTGGTTGACCCATCATAGTCGATTACACTAATTAGCTATATATAAAGGATGAATGAGCTGCTCATTAGGCATCATTAAATTATCTAGCAGTTGGCTCAAACTCCCTCTGTTCTCCCAATTCCCCTATCCAACCAATCCCCAGCTATCTATAAATCGATTCTTTCTTCCGTTGATGACAAAAGTATACCCGAATGCCAACGCCGCGTCTGGGAATGGTGCTGCAGCTCCAAAGCTGGCCTTCCCGGCCGATCATGACAATTCATCAACTGTTGTCCTCACCGTTTGGAAAAAATCGCTGCTTTTCAATTGCGACGGTTTCACTGTGTTTGATAACCAAGGTAACCTCGTCTATCGCGTCGACAATTACAACGCCGGCACCAAGGCGGAGATTGTACTCATGGATGCTTCTGGAAACTCTCTCCTCACTATCCGCCGAAAGGTACGTACCAATTACTATATTTGCAAGTACTTATTCAATTTTCTGACGATAAATAATATTCTAATGATTTTGGTTTGGAAATTCAGAGGATAAGCCTGGCGGACAGCTGGTTGGTGTTCGAAGGAGAGACGGCCGTCAATCCGCTGTTTTCAGTGAAGAAGAATGTCAACCTTTTTAACACCAAGTCCTTGGCGCAGGTGTATGAGCACAGAAAAGCTTTATCTTCAACAACGTCGCCAAAGAAGAACAACGTGGTTTACGAGATTGAAGGATCCTATACGCAGCGTTGCTGTACTGTTTACGACCACAAGCGACGGCCGGTGGCTCAGATCAAGCGTAAGGAGGAGGCTGTAAGAGGGGTAGCGTTCGGGATCGACGTCTTCCGTCTCATTGTACAACCTGAAGAAATTCATCCCTCCATGGCCATGGTCCTTGTTATCCTTCTTGACCAGATGTTCGGATCTCATTATTCCATTACCAAGCGATTTTCTACTTGTTGAAATTCAAGAATCCCAATAAAAGGCGGCTCAACCAGTACGCAACATAACTTGTCGTCGGGAAGTTGCTTCAGCGGAAAATCCTCCGCTTTGCGTATATAAAATTCTTCTGCAAATTTCGCCTACATGACTCGTTACCTGTTACCTTATTATCTTTTTCCTTTTTTGTTTCTGTTTTGTGCTTATTTGCTCCACAGCTAGCTAGTCTTTTCCTTTTAAATAAAAGACTAAGCTAAGAGTGGGAATTGTAAATCTTATTGTAAAGCACATACAAGGACAAATATCTACATCGAATACTAGGAAACATTAAAGCCGCCACTCCTTAAATCTAAGCACCCTCCACTGTGAATTTCTTCTTCCTCTCAAAACTCATTTGAGTATAGGCGAGAACAGAAGGGATTTTTATCTAGCTATACTATAATAGAAATATATTTACTATCTTTATTTAGGTTCCTTGTTAATTACTTTATATACCTATATTTACTAGTTTTATACAAAATCATAAAAAGAGGAAATGCAACATACCTTAAATATAGCGTATCAGTTACATATAATCCCCTTAAATTTAAGATTCTCTTCCTTTTCCAAAATGATTACAAAAATATCTTCCAATTTTGTACTTACCCACCGTGAGAATTCTCTCTTACCCACTGATGCCCAAAATCTTTCTAACCCAAAAATCTCGCTTACTCACTCCTCTTCCAAAGCTTTTGATATCCGGTTTCTC